CGAGTCGGGGTAAAGACGAAGGAAAACGCTTATCTGTAGTGACGTCACAAGAGTATCGGCACTTGACAATAATAGTTCATAATCCTTGGTTTCTGTCAAGATTCGTCGGCTGTCATTATCATTGGGTACGTTCAGGCGGTCCCAGCGGCTTAGCTCAGCCTCTCAGCGGGAACTTTATTCTCGAAACCAAGGAACAGCGTTCTCATAAGAACGATTACTCTGTCATTGTCAGTGTTATGCCGGACGACAAAGACAGAACCTTCGTTCCAATGAGAACGCTGTTCCTTGGCTTCGAGAATAAAGTTCCTGCTGAGAGGCTGAGCTAAGCCGCTGGGACCGCCTGAATGTACCCATTGTCTGTCTTTCTCCGTCCCTCTACGTTATATTTTTCTCCTCTCTCGTGTAACGAAATTTGCCCATTCTCGTCCAAACATCAGACCGCCGCGCCGCCTGAGAAGTTTCACTCCAAAAAGCACAGGACCCAAATGTATAAATAACGAAAATCATCACAGAACACAATGATACTAGTATGACAAAAAGGAGACGCGCATCTGTAGTGACATCACATGCGGGTATCAGCGCCTGTCAATAATAGGCAATCCTCTTTGCGCTTATAATCCTTGGTTTGTTCAATCTGGGGTCGTATTTTCGAATTCATTCGAGTACATTTCGTACAGGAAATTTGATTGACAGCAATGTAAATTAAATGGGGAGCATTCGAATTCGTATCAAATTTCGTACACGAGAATATTCGAAAATACGACGCCAGTTGTTGTCTTTTCCGTCTCTTTATACGTTATATCTTTCTTCTCTCTCAAGTAACGAAATTTACCAGTGACGTGTTTTTCAAATCACTCTCAATTCTGTTCCAAATATCCGAGAGCCGCCTAGAAGTTTCACTTCAAAAAACCGCTGACGCAAGCAGCGCTATAAAATAAGGCTTTTCGGGAACGCTGTTTCGATTAACCCGACCACCAATGAACGCTATTGAAAAAAGAGAATAATTTACATCAGTCGGTGATTGGGTTAATCGGAACACCGTTCCCGAAAATGCGTGTTATGACCTTGATCCGAAAAATACCGACAGTACCTGTGTAGTGTATAATATCACGTATCCGCGTATCCTTGGGTCTGATCCAAGAGGTCCAATCAGCGAGTCGAGTGGCTGTTGAATGGCGGCCATGGGTGCGCAGTTCTTTTTCACACTTTGCATTTCAGGTAATCCCAGTCTCAGTCAAGTACAACATATTCTGTAGACATTTTTTTGAGGTTGATAGGTATTAATTGAATTAGGCATTCTAACGACCTGTCAAAAAGTGCGTTGTGGGCGGAAGTTCATTATCCCGTATATGAGAGTATGGAATTCAAAGCTTTTTAAAGTGCATTTTGTGGTTGTTTTGTGAATGAACTCTGTTTATTTTTCTATTTTATTGACTTCATTAGTGTTTTTTCTATTTAAAAATGCCACAAACGTGTCTTGTAGTTGATTGTGGAAGTAGTTTCAACAAGGTAACAAAGATGATTTTCATTGCCTTTTATTTTAAAATTGTCCAATTTAAACGTGAAAATTTATCACTACCTCTGTTCCTGCATCAAAAATTAAGCCAGACTCAAAATATTTGTGAAAATCTAAGCTTTTGTAGGCCTTCATTTGCTCATTGATGTGAAATTTGTGAAAACTGTGGGTCAAAATGTCAACTGAACATTTTTTCAAACTAACTGTTCGCCCACATCCCGATTTTCCTGCATATAAGTCTTTAAACATTCACTCTGCATCTCAAAAAGTATATTATAACAAAGTAAACTGTAATTAGCTTGAAAAAATTCCAAATAAACTCAAGATAAACAAACAAACGTCAAATTTTCCACGCTCGCCATATTGAAAAATCACGTGGTTTGGAGAGCCTAATAATTTGATAAAGGAAATTTTTTTGCAGATTTTTGGGTATTTTGAGAAGGGTTCGAAAGCTTTCTACGAACGTGCGTGCATGAAACCCCACTTTTCCGCGACCGCCAGCATTTAGGTCATGAAATTACCACTTTTTCGCGTCACTTTTCCGTACTAGTGCGGAAAAGTAGAATACCTAATATTAGTAGGTATACAGGTACTTACAGGTTACAGGTATACTACAGACAGGTGCGGAAAATTAAAAAAAAGTGTATCCTTAATAATTGGTACAAATATTAACTTTCATCTCGTAGAAAAAAAAAATAGTGTTATTCCTAATTCGTGCGAAAAGTTTCTTTTTCCCACTCGGTTGCTTTCTGCAATCGCGAGCGGAAAAGTGACACTTTTCGCACTAGTTAGGAAATATATACCTACTATTTAAGAGTGGAGTGGCAACAAAAATAAACCTTTAGCTATTTTATGCCACCTTTGGCTGAGCACCCATACAGATTTCGGAAAGTCGGCGCCTATGACTGGAATGCGAACACATATGGCGAACGTGAGGCCTAGTACGGCTGCTGCGGAGGGGATACCTGTTTTTGTCGCACTCATTATGTTAAATGGCGAAAATTGCTTCCAACACGTATTCCAATTGATGAAACCTGTGAAGGGAAATATGACAAAACTTTCGAAAACGTCATATGTCAGCAAGCAACAGAAAGAAACAACATTCCCCCTTGTGGCATCTGTCTTTCATGGCTTCATTTTTTTGGCAGATATGGCAATGTGTGCGCATTCCAGTTTTTAGCTATAGTTCATTGATTTCAAACTCTTCCCGAAGAAAGTCTTCCCGCACATTAAATCGTGCGGGAAGAGCCATTTCCCGCACGCTCGTAGAAAAAAGTTATATCCTTCCAAAGTTTTCCAAAATCTAAATCATAAGGTAGGTACCTTCTTACTAAAACGATAAAATTTCAAATTTTTTTTGTTGAGATTTTATATCCTTATGGTCAATTAACATCCCCCAAACTTTACACACTATATTATTCTCAGATTTGAAGCCGAAATCTATGAAAAAAGGCACTCAGAAAAATTGAAAAATTGATAAATCACCTCAAATTGCTTAACACGATTTTATCTCAGGAACTATACGTGCAAATGAGCTGGAATTTTCAAGGATTGTAGTCCCTTTATTGAGATAAATTTCAGTGAAAATTTCAGTTTTTTTTCTATAATAAAAAAAAAGTTATGCCTTTCCAAAGTTTTCCAAAATCTAAATCATAAGGTTACCTTCTTACTAAAACCTTTGTACCATCAAAACATCTATATGTAGCCAGCACCTCTATTGAATTAATATTTTTTTGCATGGTAATACAACTTAATTTTAGTGTGGCTTTCTGAATTATTCTATTCTCAATATGATCCTAGCTGTTTTATATAGACCACAAAGTCTGGTGTACACTTAACATTATGAGCTTCTGACATTATTATAATGACAAGAGATTTACCCAATGCTTCCAGGAAAATCAAAAACTGAACAAAGTTTTCATAAATGCTACGTATGTTCACATGAATCATGTTAATGTCACTTACACTATTGTCACAACTGTCCGGTTTACGGGGGTGACATGGGGGGTTTGTAGCTTTGGGGGTTGATGGAGAGAAACTCGCTCAAATTGTATAAAAGTATAGATATATATTTTCCCAAATATGCACATATACGCTAGTCCTATAGGATGCATATGACCTTTCGAATACTGGGGTCCTTATAGGGAGCCACACGTCAGCGCTACTTGGGGGACTGTCGGTTAGTTATCGTCACTCTTATGCCTTGTCCAGAGGAGCTTTCCCAATGAGAGGTAGTTGCACTGGGGAGACCTAATTTCAGAGGGGCTTTCCCAACGAGAGATAATTGCACTGGTTCAAGTCTGCCTTTGCTGCGGCTCGCGAAGTAATTTATATTCGTTTATTGCTTGTCTCATCATAATTAACCAGGTTAATCATGTCCTGTGTTTTGTCGATTCGTAATAATAGTTATTAAGGTATCAAGGGTATTATGAGGATATTAACGCTTGAGGTCAATGGTGTATTTCCCGAGGGCCTCTGGCCCGAGGGATATACGTTGACCGAAAGCGTTAATATCGTTAATACCCGTGGTGCCTTCAACGTTTAATATCCGACTTAATTATTTTTTATATGAGCAAATTTTGAATAAATTAAACTAAAACAAATCAAGTACCTGCAAAAAAAATAGTCATAACGCCCTAGGAAGTTCTTTAAAAATAACGCCCTAGGGAATTATTTCCTATTTGAAAAAATAGTCATAACGCCCTAGGTTATTTTTCAAAATAACGCCCTAGGGAATTATTTCGTATTTAACTGACTTTGACATAATGTCATTATTTCTCGAATAATATACCAGTCGGACATTAACTCATTATTGAAATTATGTACAGTGTGTTATTTTCCTAAGCAGGCTCGATGTTGACACTATTTTCAAAATAATCCAATTTGTCTAGGTCATCACATGTTTTTGCATCATTTTAAATCGACCTTAAAATACCCCAAAACGCCTCTGTTTTAATGTTCGTGAAACACCCTGTATTTAATGCCATTACTTGGAAACAAAGCCCTAGGGCTCGGTGAACCAACTACCTTTTTTGAAGCCCCAATCGAGATCTACAATTGGACGAATTTATATATTTAAAGGTAAATGTCACAGATTTGTCTATCAGCCTATTCAAAACACGTGTATCTCTTGGCGGACATTTTAATTTAAGTTTGACAGCATCTTGGATAGGCTAATTGGGCCAGTGATGATCACCAATTGAGGTTCTAGAAGATTACGGATTCCTCAAGAATTATTAGGTATGGAAGAACATCATGTGCCATCAAAATTACCACAATCATCATAGTATTTGTATTGTCATAAATATGTGTATATGTATAAATTCCATGTGTAACTCCTTTTCTTCCACTTTCCATCATGTCCTTTATGTTTCATAATTTTGCTCAAAACATAAAACGCACCTGCTTAAAATAACAATAATAATAATAATGAAATTGTTGAAGATTTTTGAAAAACATATAAGTAACTCAAATTTCTATATAGCTTCAGCTGCTCTTTCACTATCCCCGGCAAGACCTACCCGTAAATTCGGTTCGAAAAGGGCAACAGAAGACGATGTCAAGCAAGACGAAGAAATGCAAAAACTGCGAGAAGCACGCGCAGCCAGATTGGCTTTCATCAACGAAGAAGAAAAACTCGAAAGACATTCTGCTTCGAGAGAAGTCGACGTGGCCGTCAAGGCTAAAAAGGAAAAAGAAGATGCTGCTAGGTTAGCAGAAGAAAGGTAAATTTAATCCAAAATTTATATATTTGTGTTTAAAAATGTGCATTTCTAGAGCCTTGGCCGAAGAACAAGCCCGTCAACAAGCCTTGACCAAAGAAGCTGCCAGGAAAGCCGAACTAGCTAGACAAGAAGAATTAGCTGCTCAAGCGGCCGCCCAAAGAGCCGCAGACCTTGCCGAGCTAGCTAGAAAAGAAGAAGCTAAAAAACAAGTAATAATTATTATTTTATATATAATCACAACAAAATGTAAAACATTTTAATTCTAGGCTGAAATTGATAAAAAGAAAAAAGAAGACGCTGAAGAAAAAGCCCGCCTAGAAGAACAAAAACGACTCGAAGAAGCCAAAGCCGAAGAAGCTCTACAAGCCCAACTAAGACTAGAAGAAATCGCCCGTAAAGCCGAAGAAGAAAGAGAGGACGAGCTCGCCCGACAAGCCGAAGAGCTTGCCGAATTGGCGAGGCAAGAAGCCGAACTGGCCGAACAAGCGAAACACGAGGCCGAAGAAGAGGAACAAAGACGTCAAGAAGCTGAACTCGAAGATTTGAGGCGTCAAGAAGCCGAACTCGCCGAACTAGAAAGACAAGAACAAGAACTGGCCGAAGTGGCAAGACAAGAAGCCGAAATTGCCGAAGCTGCTAAACTTGAAGCAGATGCTCAACAAGCCGAATTAGAAGAATTGGAAAGGGCTCAAGCTGAACTTGATGCACTTGAAGAAGCGATGGAATCTGATTTAGGGCCTGCACCTGCTCAGGAACCTGAAGCAGAAGTTGTTGATGAAGCTGAATTGGCTAGACAAGCTGAGCTAGAAGCGCTGCGCCGTGAAGAGGAAGAGTTAGAAGAACTAGAAAAGGCGCAAGCTGAATTAGATGCTTTGGAAGAAGAAGCCAAAGCGATGGCGTCCGATTTTGGACCGCCAGTCGACCACAACGACGACGAGGAAGATGACGAAGCGATTGCTGAAGGTGCTCAATCAGATGAAGACTAAATAAATTTAATCTTTTTAAAAAAAATTGTATACTAAAATGTATTTTTGTTCGCTTTTAAAATAGCATTTTTGTTGCATTTGTTATGTACATATCCGATTATTATTTGTTTTGTTTATTAATGTTGTCTTTTTGAGAAAATAAAAGAACTTGTTGTGTTATCTATTTTTTAGTTTAGCAAACAACTGAGGGTTAAATGTATTTTATAATATGTAATTTGACTAATTAATAGTGAGGCTTTAGTATTAATTTGATTTTAAGAAATCCGCCTTGTAGTTAATTGTAGTGTGGGTGCACTGCTACATAGGAAGTAGGAATAAGTATACCTAAATGCAATACGTCAAATTTATTGCAAAACCTTTTGAGAAGATCATGTTTCTATGTTATTTGTAGATAATGAAAATTGAAAATCCTAAGGGTGAAAAGTTAAATACTGACATTTGAGCAAAGTCTTCTTATCTAAAATATGTTGACTGGAAGTCATAAAAAAAACTCGCCTATAAATGACTGTCTCCTAGCGGTTTTCCTTCCTACCGACGTCTTTTTATCTGGATTTTTGGATTTCGACCCCTTGACGGCTCATAATTTGAAAAGTTTATTTTGTCCAAGGCCAGGTCCGCATTTAACATTATTCTTTTCGTTTCTTCAAAAAAAGATATAATAGGGTCAATTTATATTGACATTTAGATCCTTTTAGAGTTTAGACCATATCTACTTTTTTCAGAATTCAAAAAGTGAATAATGGTTTTAGTAGGTATTGAAATAAAGAGATTCAAAGAGCTGCTTATAATACTTGAAAATCTGTAAAATAATTTAGAAATGACTAAAAAACTTCTAAAATGTTCCAGAATTTTTCAAACCAAGTTAGAACACTGTAGATGAATGAGCCATTTAGAACGTCCTAAAACGTTTTTAAAAAAACTAAAGTTTTTCTCACTTACCCTATTTGAAAACTGGGAACTTTTGGCAGAAAATGACGCAAATCCAAAGCCACTATTCTCGCTGGAAATTCAAAGAAAAACCAGGAAGAAAACGAAAACGCGTCACTCAAAATGGCCGACTGACAAATGTGACTGTCAGGCTTTATAAACGACATTCCAAGGCCTACTCGGTTAAAACCTGAGTGAAGTTGGCTGCAAGCGGTGTTGCCACCTAAACATAAATCATTTTAAAGGGTAATTTAATGAAAAAGCCGGTGACTAATTAATTAATGATGATAAAGACCTCGAAAAGTTGTTTTTTAATAAATTTTTCTCACTTATCCTTCGCCCGAAGGGCAGCTCACTAACCACAATTTCTACATCGATTTCGGAAATCGCAGGGGATTTCTACAATTTTCAAGGAATCTCGAAAGATTTCGGATATTCGACTTTCAACGCCGTATCACTGAGGATTTCGATAAATCTAACAGAATTTCGGGATTTCAGAAGGATTATTTCGGTTGGGATTTCGGGATTTCAGAAGGGCCGATTTCGGTTCGGACTTCGGAATTTTGGATAGGATTTCGCTCTTCGCGATTTCGAATGGATTTCGGGATTTCCAAAGTGATTTCGAAGCGATTTTGGGAATGAGCTGCCCCTCGTCCTCGCCCTTAATTTTAGCATTCAAAAGCTAGAATTTTTGGCAGAAAAGTAAGAAAATCCAAAGCCCCGCACTAACAGTGTTCTGGACTGAAAAGGCCCTGGAAAAGTGGAAAATTCAAGGAAAACTGGATAAAATCCTCATAATAGCCGACTGTCAAAAGTGGCAAATGACATTCATTACAAGGCCTATTTGATTGAAAGCGAAGTTGCCACAATTACAATCTGAAACCGAATGTTTTTCCAGATTTTTCCTCATTTTCAAAAGTAATAAATTTCCATTTATAATGTTAATTTGATTGTATTTTTGAAAAAAAACAGTGATTATAATGAGTAAAACAAAGAAGGATATGAAATAGAATACATTTACAAAAGCAGCAAATGCGATTATAAATGAGGAAACAAAGAGAAAGATAAAGTAGGATACATTTTAAGTGATTCGTGTGTCTAAAAGTGGCAGAAAAAGACGCAAATTTAAAGCTCCGCACTTAGAATCACCTTTTTCCGATTAAAAAAGCCCCAGAAAAGCGGAAAATCCAAAAAAATTACATTCTAAAGCATACTTGATAAAACGTTTTCGTTACTCACCCCATTGAGAAGCGGAAATGTTTGGCAGAACATGGAAGAAATTCAAAGCCCCGCACTTTAAATGGGTTTTCCCAAACAAAAAGACCTTGGAAAAGTGAAGAATTCGAAGAAAAACTGGATGAAAACGAAAACCTGTCACTTAAAATGGCCGACTGTTAAAAGAGGCAAATGAAAAGGTCTGTTTCGTCTGTTTCTCCAGAAATCACAAACCAGTTAGAGCGAATTTCATTGGTTGAAAACAGTAAGAAACAGTCAGAAAACTAGTTTCAACCAATGAAATTCACTCTGACAGAAAAATGATGTTTTTTTTGTTTAAAATTTATTAAAAAGCTTTTAAATTAAATATGTAAAAATGATTATGAATCTCAAAATTCTCGAAATATAAGGCATTGGAAACTTGTTTTTAGTTTTATTTCAATGAAAATGACATTCCAAGGCCTACTTGATAGTGAGTAAGACAAAGAAGAACTCTGGGCTCTCATATTCAAAGCCCCGCGCTTAGAACCACCTTTTCCAAATTAAAAAGGTTTCGGAAAAACGGAAAATCGAAAGAAAAACCAACGAAAATGACATTCCAAAACCTACTTGTTAAAACTAAAGTTTCCGTTACTTACCCCATTGAAAAGCGAAATTTTTTGGCTGAAAATGAAGGAAATTCAAAGCCGCGCACTTTAAATCGGTTTTCCCGATCGAAAAAGGCCCTGGAAAAACGTGTCACTCAAAATGGCCGACTGTCAAATTCACTGTCGGGTTTTATAAATGACATTCCAAGGCCTACTCGATTGAAACCTGGGTAAAATTGACTACAAGCGGTGTTGCCACCTGAAAAAAAAATCATTTTAGAGAGTAATTCAATAAAAAAGCCGTTAAATAATTAATTATTAATGATTTTAAAACTTAAAATTCCCAAAAAAAGGCGTCGAAAAGTTGTTTTTTAATAAGTTTGTCTCACTTACCCTTCGCCCTGAATTTCAACATTTAATAGCTGGAATTTTTGGCAGAAAATGAAAAAAATCCAAAGCCCTGCACTTATCAGTTTTCCGGACTGAAGGCCCTGAAAAAAGCGGAAAACTCAAAATGGTCGACTGTCAAAAGTGGCAAATGATATTTATTACAAGGCCTATTTGATTAGAAGCGATGTTGCCAATATTATAATCTGAAACCGAATGTTTTTCCAGATTTTTCCTGATTTTCAAAAGTAACAAATTTCCATTGTTAATGTTAATCCCTGGAAAAGCGGAAAATCTAAAAAAAAAAAAACTAATGAAAATTACATTCCAAAGCCTACCTGATAAAACTAAAGTTTTCGTTACTTACCCCCTTAGATTACTTATCCCATTGAAAAGCGAAATTTTTTGGCAGAAAATGAAGAAATTCAAAGCCACGCACTTACAACCGGTTTTTCCAATCGAAAAGGCCTTGGAAAAGTGAAAAATTCGAAAAAAAAAGTAATGCCCGACTGTCAAAAGTGGCAAATGGGCAAGGATAATACACACTACGACTAAGGATGGTCTATCCTAATGAGGCCTCTGTGTAACAAATCCTCCCCTTCCCCGCCCTGCCAAATTATCAGTTGTGACGTAGGCAGCATGGCGTTTCTCGCCTTGACTTAGGCAACGAATTAGTTGATGACGTCGGAAATGGTAACACACCAATATGGCGGCGATTGCCAAAAACGAGGCGCTCCAACCAAGGATGGTACACACTATTACTACAGGATGGCCCATCCTCATAAGGCCTGTGTGTAACAAATCCCCCCCCCTACCCTGCCGCGCCAAACAACCAGTTGTGACGTAAACAGCATGGCGTTTCTCGCCTTGACGTAGGCTGTTCAAACAGCTGACGACTTAGTTATGACGTCGGCAATGGTTGAGAACAGTTGAAAACCAATATGGCGCGATTACCAGAAACGAGGCCGATAAGCACTCCTTAGAGTGTGTTTTCTCCTTGCACTCCAACGACCTATCAAAACTATTTCAAAATGGCGTCGTAGGCGGAAGTTCATTATCCCGTATATGCGAGTATAGAATTTAAAGCTTTCTAAAGTCCATTGTGTGGTTGTTTTGTGACTGAAAAGTATTTATCTTTTTATTATTGACTTAATAGGTGCTTTTTCCAATTGAAAATGCTACAAAGGTGTCTCAGTTGATTGTGGATGTCGTTTCAACAAGGATGATGTCAGGTTGTTAATTAAAACGTGAAAATTATTCAGTACCACTGTCCCTGCATCTAAAATAAAGCTGTAGGTCAAAATGTAAACAAAAGTCTAATAGGCATTTTTTCAAACTTACCTTACCGTTCGCCCACATCCAGATTTTCCTGCATTAAAGTCTTTGAATATTTACTCTGCAGCTCGAAAAGTATATTATTTTAACAAAGTAAGCAACAAACCTTCATACCTTTCGAACATTTTGCCGACAAAATTTTTTCTCTTGTGATATTATATATGAAAATGACATTCCAAGGCCTACTTGATAGTGAGTAAGACAAAGAAGGAGATAAGGTAGGATACAATTGCGAATACACAGCTCCTGGCTCTTTTAATTTTTTTCTTCCAAAATGAATGTGTATGTTTTCGTTTAAAAGAAATCAAGAATTTGAGAGCCTAGTGTTTGGAATAGACAAAAATTGAAAGAGTAATAATAATGAAATATTAGTCTTGAAGACTTCTTCAGGCAGACGTCTGACAAACGTTCGGTTTTGTAACATACGACGTCTTTAAGGCTTACTATTCAATTATTCATGCATCCGTTTTTCCGTCAATCCGTTGATCTGGAAGTATTCCTATTGGTCCAATGTCCAATATTTTGGCTCCAAAATATTGGACATAAATTGACGGAAAAACGGATGCATGAAAAGTAAGCTTAAGACGCCTTGAAGACGTAAGCAGATGCCTTAAAGTCGTCTTGAATGTCGTTTGTGGACATCTTGGGGATGTATTTAAGATGTCTCTGTACTGTCTGGGGACAGATTCTCGCCACACGTCTCTTCCCATATCTGCACTCTCTCCCAACAGAAACCCGTCTGTGTACCAGATGAGCCCCTTCGGCTTGAGGAAACCTGGGTAAGACTCTATATAGCCAGTCGTCCCTTGCATTGACTTGACCTTGTATTGTCTAGGGCTGCATCCCTCCTAAGAGTCCTTATTCTTGAAACAGGGGAGCACGAGTGTTCCATCCTTCTGAATAATATGAAACTTGATAGGTAACAAAGACGAAATACTCCTTCTCCTGAGAACGCTACTTCCCTGTTTCAAGAATAAGCACCACTATGAGTTCACTAGTCAAGTATAAAATTGTACAATCATTACCACTTCTAAAAGGTCTTCCAGAATATCCAAAGTTTCCTATCCAAAATATATTTACCGGAAGCCACACAAAATGATCTCGTCGCGCCTATAGACAGTTTTCCTTTCTACTGACGCCTTTTTGTCTGGAATTTTTGTATTTCGAACATTTGATGGCTCATAATTCAAAAAGTCTATTATTTCCAAGGCCGGTATCTACTCTTAACATCATTTTTGTGTTTTTTTCGTATCTCCTGAAGGGTCACACAGCTATTTTTTTTTTCTGACTAAACTCTATCGAATTGATACAAAAATACATTTCCATCCATACGTAGGATGATGCAAAATCCCCATATTTTAAAAATAATACATACAAAACGAAATAAGACTTTGCATATACGTCAACCTGCTCACTTTTTGGCAAGAACAATTTTGTGGTTTAAAAAAAAAACTTACCTACGTCAAATATTGTCGTCACAATGCCATAAAGAGGGTACTTTACTTAATCAGACAAATATAGTATATTTTGCCTAAACGAGATAAAACTTCAAATGGATTAAAATAGGAATAATATAATCATTATCTTATTAGTATATTTGTTTATGCCTTAATATGGGTACTTATATTTCAAATGGATATGGCAATTTTTAGTTAAAATGCCCGAAGTTTCAAGAAACTCTGTAAGGGATTTAATTAAATGTTTCGAAGCTATGAAGCACTCTGGCGAAACCTACAAAAGTATATTGAATATTCCACGGTAAGTACCTACACTTAAATTGAAAAATACCCTAATTATTATTATCAAAAAGGTTTCTATTTTGAACATTTAAGTTTAATTGGATGAAAATCGTGGCCGATATCTGAATTCTTGGTTGACAAACAAACTTATGAAGAAGTATTTGATTTCGAAAAAATTAGTATCAAAGTTAACTTTATCTTGAGACAGAAATGAAACTTTTCATAGAAATTTTTTGCAGTGGAAAATTGTCAAATTTGTAAATTGTATTAGGATTATAGATGAATGTTCCAAGAATTTCTTTCTTAGGTTTTTATGTTCCTGCTGCTGATCAAAATAATCAATGTTATTGATGATTATTCAACAATTAAAGTCTGTAATATGTTGTTTGTCTGTAGGTATACTTTCAGGTTCTTTTTAATAAGTTTCCATGACAAATATACTTGATACATAATTCAATAAATTTAATAGCGTGTTTTTGTTTTGTCAAAAATCCTAACAATGGATTGTGTCTAGAAAGAAGCTCAAGACTGGTTTAATTAACAAGTAATAAAAAAGGATACCTAAATAATAATTGTCTTCCCACATATTATTGAACAATCATGACAGTTCATAAAATTTACTTTTTTTTCTAATGGAAATTTTCTATTATTATTAAAAACAATAATTTTTTCTCATTTATTAGATGTTCAGAGAAGGTAGCAGAGGGGTCTCAAGTCTGAGATTAAAATAGCTTAAAAGAATGCTGATTGAAAGTTGAAAGCTTTAAAGGCTTAAAATTAAGTCAAAACTTTGCCGATCTAAGATACAAAGCCTCTTGATTCAAGACTCCAGTGTCCAAAGATCATGAAGACTCAAAAATGTCTCAAGATTCATGACTCAAAAGACAAAACTTCTGAGGTTTCCGAATCTTGAATAATAATGTGTAGGAAATGGAAATTTACTCAGTTTTAACACACATATTATTGTTTTACCTGCACTTTACCTGTTTTTGTAGTTACGTTAATTTCTGATAGATTGTCTAATGGTAATGTCAGATGAAATCGTCCCTTGTCTCAATTACATATTAATAGTTATCAGTCAGTTTTTCGCTTCCAGTGTATTATTTGTCCACTAACTTCAAGAGGTTATGGGCCCAGAATGAAGGTTTGTGAAAAATAGCTGCAAACTGTAAGTGTATTTTCAATTTTGCTCAGAATCATTCTTTGTTTAATTCTGGACTAAATAGTAAACTATGGCTGGAATGAATAACAATACAGTACCAGAGTTTGAGGCACACAATTTCGATAATTGGCAATTTAGAATGGTAACTCTGCTGAGAAAGGAAAACTGTCACGAGACCGTACAAAACAATGAACCTAGTGAGGAAGCTTCTAGTGAAGCAAAAGAAGATTGGAGAAAAAGGGATTATAAAGCTCAATCAATTTCATTTCAGAAACAAGAAGAAAATTATATTGAAGAGATACAAGAAGAGAGACCTGTTCGGAAGACCAATAATATGCAAGGATGCAATGGAAATTCAAGAAATGATGAGTACGGAAAACATATTCCATACAATAATATAGCAAGACATGGAAGTACTGTGAACAAATCTAAAATTCTTGATGACTATGAAATATACAGCGACTCCAGATGAGCCTATAAGAGTTACGCAGAAGCCTGTAAAACTGCAGAGTAGAGAGAAGCCATGGAGAAAGAAATTAAATCTCTTAAAAACTCTCAAACTTGGATTCCAGAAGAACTTCCTGAATGTTTAACAGCTATAGACACGAACTGGATTTTTAAAATAAAAGAAGATGGTTCAAAGAAAGCAAGATTGGTTACAAGAGGTTTCCAAGTACCATATAATGAAAGTGATAAATTCATTTATGCCCCAATGTGTAGGTTAGCTACAATAAGACGTACGTAGTGTCTTTACAGAACGGTTGGAAACTGCTTCAGATTGATGTTCCTACTGGATTCTTAGAAAATGATATGTATGTACATTAAAGCACCTGAAGGCTTGAACACAGATGCAAACTATTTAAAATTGAGACGTGCTTTATAGGGACTTAGAAATGCGCCCAAATGTTGGAACATGAAGTTGTAATCAAGTTTAAATTTTTGAAGATCACAATATGACTATTGTTTATTTGTGACTAACAACATATCCCCTAGTAATATTTGTTGATGATGCTCTGATAATTGAACCAGAAGATCAAGTCAAGGAACCAGTGTTGCCAGGTCTACTGATATACTGATATCAATGTAAATTCTACTGATAAAATCCGGTGTCATTATTTACCTGCTTTTTATGATATTTTTTAAATTAAAACCTTGTATGAAAATGTCACAGCAATAATTTCATACGCGACCTTTGGTGTAGAACTTCTAGGAGTGTCTTCTGAACGACGCGTCTGCCCAATTACTCCGATCAGTCCGGTGTGATTTGATTTGTATTGAAACAATCAAACGCTCGCAGTGCAGGCGCTGCACTCAACCTAACTGGGGAATCCCCGGCGTTCGTGCGTGTTTGTGTTGTGTCTTGTTGTCTTGTTTATTTGCTTTTTATTTTGCCAGTTGCGTAAAGACATGCGTTGTTGTTGGTTAGTCAATTGGTCACATAGCGTTATGTTGTACAACTAACTGCAGCCTGTTTCATCTATTTTTATAAGACTATAGACTACTGCATAGGTACAAATTTGAAAAAAGTTGAAAATATTCAACATTTCATATTTCTGACATGGAATTTTTGTTTATGATCGTGGATTGTAAAAATTTTGCCAATACTGTACAACTTTTGTATTTACACCTTTCATGTACCTGTAAAGGTAAAGGCTGGTGGGGTGTCAATATAGGTATAACTTAACAGAATTTGTAAGATTATCCACTTTTTGTCAATTCACCTTTCAACAGGAATTGGTAATGTTACTTCATTAAACTAGTAATATATTTTAACAAGTTATTCAAATACAAACGAGTGGATTATTGCGGAACTTATGAGAGTACCTCTGCGGGACGAGCGCAGCGAGTTCCGCAGCCATCTATTCATCAATATGTTGTTTAATTATGATACTAACCTGACTCACTCAAATGTGAGTTATTCTCATTAGTTTAAAAACTACCTACATGGTTCAGGTGAATGTCTTACTTAAACATTTCAGCAGTATATTGCTGAATAGATGGCTGCGGAACTCGCTGCGCTCGTCCCGCAGAGGTCCACCCATAAATTCCGCAACAATCCACTTATTTGTACTTGAACAATAACTTATTATATAAAATCAAAATTTGTAAGATTATGATTATTCACTTTTTATCAATTCGCCTTTCAACAGGAATAAGTAATGTTACTTTACCAAACTAGTAATATATTGTGACAAGTTATTTAAGTACAAATGAGTGAATTGTTGCGGAACTTATGGGTAGACCTCTGCGGGACGAGCGCAGCGAGTTCTGCAGCCATTTATTCGTCAATATGTGGTTTAATTACGATATTAACTTGACTCACTCAAATGTGAGTTATTCTCATTAGTTTAAAAACTACATGTTTCAAGTGAATGTCTTACTTGAACAGTTCAGCAGTATATTGGTGACTAGATGACTACTTTCTATTCACGGATCACATTTAGAACCAATTTGGAACTAGTTTAGAATTCGTAGACTTTAAACACAAAACTTATGATGATTTCAATGTCCGTAGAACTTGTTTAGATCTGATCCGGAAACCGAATCTAGAACTGGAACAGAAAATTCATCAGAATTTAATGAATCTCGAAAGATATAATTCAAATTTTGGATCCGAACTGTTCCGAATCAGTTCTGAATCGAATAGCTAACGAAGTTTTATTCACGGATCACATTTAGAACCAGTTTGGAATAATTGTCGAAGACTTTAAAAATGAAACTATGATTCTTTTAATAACCGTAGAACTTGTTCAGATCTGATCCGGAAACCGATTTTAGAACTGGAACAGAGAACTCATCAGAATTTAATGATTTTCTATTTATGGTTCTAAACTGTTCCGAATCAGTTCTGAATCGAATAGCTAACGATGTTATATTCATGGATCACATTTAGAACAAATTTGAAACTAGCTTACAAAAATTGTCATAAACTTCAAAAATGAAACTTATGGTTCTTTCAATATCCGTAGAACCTGTTCAGATCTGATCTGGTAACCGATTCTAGACCAGAAAACTCAGAATTCAAAGTTTCAAGTCTATCTGATACTCTGGAGTATTATTTAGGATTTTTCATGACAAATTAAAAATATTTTGTTTCATTTCTCTGATAGATTTTGGTTTGCTGGCTATGAATGACGTCTATTTTTTGGTTTAGTTGCTTCCACACGGAGTTGTGACCACTCAAAATGTTGTAAATTTCTGAAATGACAGGAAGAAGGTCATTGTTTTTTTTTTTTTTCAAACAGGCTCCGAGAGCTTCGACATTTTCCATAGAAATCTGGAAATTATGTAGATTTTTTAGTTGAAATTATCGATGTCAGACTTGGACTCGTTTTGTCGGTTTGGTAAAGTCAAGATTACGCACGTTTATGTGTAAAAGTGAACTTACATTACACATTCGAATGTTGTTTCTATTCCAGGCTCTTGAATTTTCTTTATTCGGAGAAATTTAGGAAAGATTCAAGAGCCGGAAATAGACAAAAATTGAGCCAAGAAAACTGACGATATTACACGCTTTCCGGAAACGTTTCAGTTAAGGAAGTAGGTATAAATTTTCCTGCCTAGGCCAGAAGATGAAATACGTCCGGAAAGTATGTACTTTTTAAACTATTTTTGAAAAAATAGTGTACCTACCTATTTGGTGTTAATTTGGGAATTGAAGCACATTAGTTGTATTCCTTTCAAGTGTTTGAAACCCTCGAGCTACTCGCTCCGGTGTTCCGTCGCCCCCGATTTGCCGGGAACAGATGCGTGGTGCAACAAAAACTTTTCGAAAGCAATAAGCGCGTGAAGCCCCGGAGCTGTTCCGGGGCTCCTCCTAGGTGTGAAAGGAATACAACTATTGAAGCACGTTTGCA